TGACGAAACAGACATTCCCGCGAATAAGGTATTATAAATCATTAAATGTAATCAAAAGTGTTTACAGTTGTACGTTGAATAAGTATTTTGAGATTTAGTTGAGGATTTAGTTCAATTAACGATAGAATGGAGTTTGATCAAAGGTAAATATGGAATAAGTAGTTTGACATACAAAACCAGTAACTATCAGAAAACTTATCTTCTTCTTAATTGAATTCAGTCAGCAATTACTGATTCAGTTGATCTAGGAAATTAGTAATGAATATTATTACACTGACAAATTCTTCTTTTTCAAACTTCAGTTTTTTACTAAGCAATTCTATGGCAGGATACAAACATTTTTTTATTTTTATTTATATCGGAGCTTTGTAAAGAAATCTAAGCTTCTTTTAGGTCTCGATAACTAAAACGTTGTCATAGTACACAATGTTGCTATTACGCGACGTCCAAAAAAAAAACACATTTCAATTCGAACGTCATATAATTTTTTAAGTGTATTTATTATCTATGGTAATTATAATCGGGGCTCTCCCGGCTTCATACGAGTATGTGTCACATATCGAAGACCTTTTAATTTTTTCCCCTATTTTTTATGCAACGATCGCGTCATTTCTGAGGTTTTTTTATTTTCTATTGCTTAGACGGTTGGACGAGCTCACGGCCCACCTGGCGTTAAGTGTTCCCTGGAACCCATAGACATCTACAACATAAAAGCGCCACCCACCTTGAGATATAAGTTCTAAGGTCTCAGTATAGTTACAACGGCTGCCCCACCCTTCAAACCGAAATACATTACTGCTTCACGGCAGAAATAGGCCGGGGTTGTGGTACATTACCCGTGCGGACTCATAAGAGGTCATACCATCAGTAATTACGCTAATTTTAATTTTGCGGGTTTGATTTTTATTACACGATTTATTTTAGTGCTTAATGTTCATACGGTTATTTCCCCTCACCGTTTCCCCACATTTTACACACTACGTTTGACATTGGTCTCTACGTAGCGCATAGACGTGCCCTACACATGAACCCACATAAACATTTTCTTTTTTTTTTGAGATTGTTCAAATTTTACCGTAATTTAATCGCCTCTCAAGACTAAATGTCATTTTCCAAAAGATTGTAAACCCTGGCTGCAATTTTACTGTCTATCAAAAGTAAAAAATGTGAAAAATTTATTAAAATATATATAAACCGGCTATGTTTTTATTTATTTCGATCGACTAAAACAGATTTATAATAGGGTCCTGCTTACTTATTGAGTCAATTGTTTTTTTTTTTTTTAATTTTATGAACGATTATACATATTAAATGCAATTCTTCGACAAACTTCTTATTACGGTGTGATATTTTTTCGGATAACCCTTAATAAACAGTAATTTGAAAGCTTTATTATCAAATGCTTAATAGGCTCAATAAAAATTTTAACTAACATCGGCTTATTCTTCCGTTAACCTTCTATTTTATATTTTAAATAAGACCGAAAATGTATACAATAAAAACTCCTGCTTTGTTTTAAATGAATAAAATTTAGATCCAGTTGAAAAAATGCGACTATTTTTCTTTTCTTATCATTCAAATATTCCGGACCAGATTTAATCTTCTTAAGCATAGCTCAAATTAATGAGTCGAAATCAGTTTCGGTTCCATTTTATCGTTACCAGGTTTCGCCTTTGTCCATTTTACTATCATATTACGTCAACATTATCAACACACGTCATTGTGTTAATCTAAGTTGTTTACGCTTTTCACAGCGTCTTTCTAAAAGCAATTTACTTAGAGAATATCATATTTTGTAGGTATATTGCAAATGATGGAGCTCATTATTATGTTCCGGATATGCTATGACGGCCTTTTGTAAAACGATTGACAATCACTGCTACAACATTATAGCGGATATTGCGTCTTATGTCTTTGTTAGGTCAAACTAAGGCACCGAACGATCCTTTTATTGAAAATTAATTTTTCTACGCTCAAATAAAATAGACCTTGATAAATAAATAAATAAAGTATTTAGGTTCTGTATTAAGACGACCGTTTAAAACTTATCATTAGAACAGTGTTTCTCAACCACTGTCCCCAGCACTTTTCTGTGCCGCCAAATTTTAGAAATGTATTTAGAGTAAAGTTTAAATTAAATAAATTCCCTAAAAGATTTTTTTTTAATAAAATTAAAGAAAATTCGAATATTATTTTAACAGGAATAGATATTTAAATAAAATATATTTTGCTCTGTGTGTCGTCAAATTTTGAAATCGCTTAAAGTTTGTCGCGATGAAAAAACCTGTTAAGAATCACTGCTCTTAGAAGTTTACAATAGTTGTGATGCCAATTAATGTATGCTGTACTATAAGAAATATTAATTGACTTAAGCTGATAATACTACTGTAAATTAAAGCGTCCCAAAACGGGGTTGATTTATTATTATTTTATATAGCGTTTTAGTTTAAATACAAAGTGAATGATTGTAAATAAAATGATACCTCATGGCCACTATTACAGGATCAGTAAAATGGACGCGTTGCTGTTTACTTTGTCGATGGAAGCTGTTTTATTGCAGTTGCGAATTCTCGGTAAGCAAACCAATTTAAAAAAATTTACACAAAAGAAAAACGTTTACAAACAAGAAACGTAACAGTTGACCGTATTGTGAAGGCCTACCACCATTCTTTTTTTTTTTTTTTTTTCGGGCCGGGGGCCGAACCCCCTACGAGGTCCCCGCGCCTAGGGGGCGCGCGAGGTATGTGAGACTCAACGATCTGCAGGTGAGCAGATCGCGGGCCCAAGGATTTTAGGGCCCACCCACTAAACGACTCCCCTGCACTCTTACACCCGACGTCCGATCTCCGTCCGGGGTCAGAACCCGTTCAGAGTAGGGGGGTTCCCGCGGTCAACACTACAACCAGACACGCGGCGCCACCCCGAGGACGCCCGACCGACGGGTCGTCGAGGCGATAGTCGACGACNCAAGGGCACCGAAGGCCAAATCCCAGACCCGGCCGTGAACACCGTCAGGGCCGGGGGCCGCGTCCTTCCTCCGCATCCTCGACACGGCCGCACGAATCTCCTCCTCCGAGATGCTCGGAGGGACCACCTCAGCAGGGGCATCACCGCTCACGCTACTGCGTGGTGGCGCGCCCATGGAAGGGGGCTCGAAGCCCCTCTCCATCCGCGGGGCCTACCACCATCCTGCCTGTACTGGACACAAAGCAGTCAACCCATTTGCTTCGGAAATAAGAAAAGAAAAAATACTGCCGCTGGCCAACCATAGACCGGATTAAAACTATTCGATTATTTAATCTCATTTTCAGTTAGGAAATATTCCAATACATGACAGTTTTCGTGTTCACTTCTCTATCACGGACTATTTATTATCCACTAAGGGCCACGATCTTATTGGCCCACGATCAAATCCATGTCTCATCCTATTAAAGGCAAAACCATATTGAATCATTAGATTAGATGACTGTACCCGGTTAGTAGCATTCGGAAACGTCGTAGCTTCGTGGGGGTCCATTTGTGCTGTGTCAAATATGAGCTGCACATATTTCTTTCTGCAGAATGATTTCCGATCATAGCTCTTCATTACAAAATTTCTTTGTGTCAAAATTCGTGTCTGAATTCTATTTGACACATATTCCACTACCTCATTGCTATGTTATGGCTATTTCAAAATCAGTTCTAAGTACAGCCTCATTTGCTATTGAAAATCAGACGTATTTATTTATGTAAAGTTACAATTCTGGAATCTGTTCTTAAATTCTTCAGAACATACGCTACGGAAAAACTTTCTGGAATACGTATTTTGGCTTCAAGGTAATCGAATCTAAGATAAATTTTACATGGCTGTTTAACCATAAAAAAATTGGCTGAAGCCTCTTGTACTTATGATGATGTATACATAGAGCAAATGTGTAGATACGAATACATATATATGTATAAACTTAATAGGTTTGAGATTCCTTACAATGCCATGTCGATCTTAAATTAACAGAACGATGCGTCATGGTATCTAACTATTGTATTAAATATAATAAGAATTAGAAACTTAAATATCCTTATAGTCAAATTCTCGCTATTAGATACTAAATTAAGTCTAATAGTAAATGTTATTAATATCTATAAACTGAATGATGATAAAATCTGGAACCACGTTTTTTTCAAACAATTATACTTTCTTTTCATAAATGGCGGATGTGGATGAGACTGGCGGGCAATCGAACATTGCAAAAAGGGGAGTCCTATGCCCAGCAACGGGTATCAAAGGCTGAAGAAAAAAAGAATGTTGTTAGTGGTGACGGTTAGTGGTGACGGTGACGGCCAAGCTAAGACTCTTGGATTTCTCGACGAGTAATACCATTTAAATATTTAAATGTAATGCTAGGGTTAACGCTTCCAGAATTTAGCACGGATTGGGATTAAACTATGCTAGCGTAGTCATGTGGTCGTTCCCATACATTTGTGTACTTTTTACTAGAAGCGTTAAAGGAGAGTGTAAATTATCTATTGGATCAAGTAGTTAGGAGATCTTATAGTAAGCACAAATAAAAATTGTCTAAAAAACAATAGCTATAGCTAATTTGCTATTTGTCCGTGGCATGGGAGCTGTAAAGTATAAACGTCGGAAACTATACAACAATAAAAAAGCTAGGATTAAAAGTGTTTTTAATTAAGCTAATTACGAGTAGCAGAAATAACTTCGGCTTATTTTTCTTTTGAAAAATGCATGCCCGTTTTTGAAGCAAGTGCAACTTCAGAAGTACCTATCTTTAACCAAAACATTTTACCTTCAAGTTATTTTCAGTTTACAGAATTGATTTATCCTGACAAGGAATGGTTGGTAAAGTCGGTAATTTCAAGTGCCAGGCAATAACACGCATTTTAGGTTTGTTTCCAATTACATTCAAAAGTAATGAAGCAATAAATTTTATTTAGAAATTACTATACGAAGTCCTTGGACTAGTTACGACATCTATCGAAAGTATTAACGTTACAGAAGGCTGCAGCGAACTGAGAGCTCAACAATGGAAACCTTTAGGCGGTCACGAACGACAGAAACGAGAAAAACTCTTGCGAGACAGGTGAGTTTACTGTTTTACTGTACTGTTTAAACTTTTACATAGATGGCGCTCATCGATATGCAGACAACAAACAAAAAGCAGCATACAATTGTTTGAATTAGTCTACTATGAGAATATAGATTATTTTTCTATTTATAATTGAAAACATGGGTGGATGAAGAGGATACGATACAATTTGTTAATTTTGAGAAAACAACTCAAGGCAACTGAGGCAACAAACTTTTTTTTATTTTTTTTTTACTTTTTCAACTTTTACTTTTTCTACGTATATAACTCCTTCGTCACATGTAATTTTTAAAAAGAGCCTTTAGACTGTGAGCTCGTCCACACATCTAAGCAATAAAAAAAAAACTTGAAATTATAAACTCTGAATAAGAATTTATCGTACTACAATTATAATATTTGATTGCCATCTTGCAACCTCATTGACGATCTGTGCATATAATAAAAAAATAAAAATCGAGATGGAAAAATAGGGGTTGATCGTATATGAGTGAAAATTGAGAGTAATATGATTTTTTTTATTTTAAGTCATGACAAAATAAAATAAAAACTTGCCAAACTAATTAAAGTTTATAATTAACAAATAAAAAATAGGGGTTGATCATAGAGGCATGAAAAATTTAGAGTAACATCAGATTTTTCATTTTAATTCATGACAAAATAAAAATAAAAATCTTGCCAAAAAAATTAAAGTTTTAATTATCAAATAAAAAATAAGGGTTGATCGTAGAGGGGTGAAAATTTAGGGTTGTATATATTTTTGAATGCTGTATCATAAACAAATAAAAACAAAAAAAAATTGTCTAAAAAATAAAAAATAAAAATTAGGGGTGGAACCTTAACATTTAGGGGGATGAAAAATAGATGTTGTTCGATTCTCCACCCTGGCCGATATGCACACTAAGATTCACGAAAATCGGTCGAGCCGTTTTGGAGGAGTTCAATCACGCACACCGTGACACGAGAATTTTATATATTAGATTAAGTTCTGTAAGCAACTTCTTGTAATAAAATTTGTTTATAACCAAAGGTCATCGGTTAAGGAAACAGTGCGACAAACTCTGATTAGTGTTGCGGAGCGTGGTGACTGGCAAGTTTTGAGAGAATCTATAGAAATTCTAAAACGAAGAGCCACATCTGTGGTTACCAAAAGGATCTACAAACAGCAACTGAAGATGTGAGTTCATGCTCTACTACACAATCGTATTTAGTTAAGACAAACAGGACTAAGATGTTTCTTTACTATATTAATATTATGATTCCACCAATACAACGTGAATTTTCATTTCGGTGGATACACAATTTTACAGTGGGCTTAGTACGAGTTTTTTAACGTTCTCGATAGCGTCAAAGTTAACTCAAATCTGTATGGAGTTGGAACGTTTGCCTACGTTTGCCGCTAGGGGCGCTGTTCCAACTGCATACAAATTTGAGTTAACTTTTACGCTATCGAGAACGTAAAAAACTCGCACTAATCACACAGGTGAATAAGTCATATTACATGTATATCTATCAGTTAAAGAGCATTATGTAACCACATTTACCTTTATAAATATATGAAATATTTAGGGATAAAATGATATAAATATAAAGATGATGTGAAGACACTAATTAATATGCAATTACTGCCTTGTGTAAGCAGTGCGGTATTCCTGTATAATTTAATATTCAGTTTGGAAATAAATCTGTTTTGAATTTGAAATCTAACGGTTTAAATCAATTTATACATTTTTAAGTCATTAACGCATATATTATATACTTTTACAACGCCAAACGTCAGCTACATGTACCTATCTAGTAAAGTATAGTTTATGAACTTAAATATATTAAATCATAATACCTGAACAAATTAACTCAATCGAATTAAACGGTGACAGATTTCGTATTTCACTAACTCTTTTTCATTGAAATTTTGATCTGTATTTTACATGGCCAGTCTAGCCTAAGACCTATCTGTGACTAAACAGCTACCGGAGCCCATCAACATCACCAATCACCATCCACCTTGAATCATGAGATCGGAATCTTCCAGCCTTCAAACCGAAAGTCAAGACTACCGCGAAACAATCATAGAAATTTTCCAGATTCTGATAGACTCACAGTACGGTAATCACTTGTAAGACATCAGACAAAACAGAAGCTATTGACGTTTAATAGGAAAATGTAGATTTGGCATAAAGTTTATTAGCTTCATATGTATGTAAGAATATTGTATGTAATGGAATCTTTGACCGTGATTTTGACCCCCTTCAAAACGTCGGATTACTTATTAAGGACTGCTGACAATTTTTTTTTTATATTTATTTTATTCAAATATTGATTTTACATAGTTAGACCCACTATTTACTTTCGGGAGTCAAAACAACAAATTCATTTGAGCGCCTTCTTTTTTTCACTTAGCAAATTTGAAACTGTCGTATTTGCGTGAATGTACATTAAATGCATAATTTGTGTTACATAATGCTACATAAACCAAAAAATAAATAATAGTTTAAAAAAAACTAACAAAACCAGCTTTTATAGAAAATCCAACTAAAAAACAGAAAATAAATTTATTATAAAAAAGCGTGGAGTGCCTTTAAGATATTACCACAATGATAATCCTTCTTCTCAAATCTGTCAATACAATATTTATAACTAGGGATACCACACGCTTTTTTTAGAATAAAAATATTTTCGATTCTTTTGTTGGATTTTCTATGAAAGCATGTTTATTAGTTTTTTAACCTATTATTTATTTTAAATTATATCGGTTTTTACAGGACTCTTATGACCATTATCGAAGAATTAAAGATGAAAAGTTGTCAATTTTCTGTCGAACTTCGTGATGCAGATCAAATAATCGCTACCTTACGCGATCAAAGGAGTGTAAGATTTTACTATTTAATTCTATCAAATATAACATACCTAGTACGTATTCAATTCTGAAAAAAATTCCCAACCTCTGTCTATTAAACCGCTACTCATAAATTTTGTATTTCTACGACTTTTACTCATAATATTACTTCACTAGCCTTGTCCGCGACTTCGTCCGCGTGGTATAGTTCACATATAATGCTTTATTTTAGAACAAATTTGGTTAGCATAAAAAACCTTCTAGTGAGCCAACCTTTATATATAGACATATGCTATCACGGACTTCTTTTTAGATCTTTTGAAGGGGATCAATTCTGTCATACATTATTTTAGCGAAACTTTAACCGTTTCCGCAGCGCACGCAGCGGAAGCTTTCAAAAGGGATTAAACCCGATTTTGAAACATTCTTTATTGGTGCTCCGCTTGTGTTGGTCTTAGTGTGATGTTATATATCCTATAGCCTTCCTCAATAAATGGGCTATCTAACACTGAAAGAATTTTTCAAATCGGACCAGTAGTTACTGAGATTAGCGCGTTCAAACAAACAAACTCTTCAGGTTTATTAGTATAGATTATATTAAATACTTAACCAGTATTAATGAATTGACGAAAATGTCAAGCCTCTCCAGTCTGGAAAGCTGCATTTGATAGAAATTCCTATTGCTATCGAGGCCTATCGGGCAAAAATAAATAGGACGGTGGCCTTGCAAACTGATGTGGCCCAAAAACGCGCATTATCACCAATAGGCAAAAAAAGGAAAGAATTTGAACATTTCAGGATGAATATTTGAACGCGAGCACACGCCTCTGCTACACTGAGAAATGGTTGCAAGCTCGAGCTGAATCATTGGAACTAGAATATAGTATAAAAAGAGAACCATTACCACGTACTGATCATGAGCAAAGGGTGCACGATGAACTTTTGAAAGCGTATTCGTTGCAGATAGCGGTACTTACAAATAATTTCGTTATAATATCATACGTAGGCTAAAAATCCCCCATATAATGGTTCAATGATAAAAGCACTTGAAAATACTATTAACGGGTAAAATTCGACCACAAACTTAAATATATTTTTTTATTGCTTTGATGGGTGGACGAACTCACAGCTCACCTGGTGTTAAGTGGTTACCGGAGCCTATGAACGTCTACAACGTAAATGCCGGCGTCCACCTTGCGATATAAGTTTTAAGGTATCAGCATGGTTACAACGGCTGCGCCACCCTTCAAACCGAAAAACATTACTGCTTCACGGTAGAAATAGACAGGTCGGTGGTACCTACCCGTGCGGACTCACAAGAGGTCCTACCACAAAAACCTCTGTCTACTTAAATTACAGCGCTACAGCATTTTAATAATTTTAGAAATCTTAATAAGTCATAGTAACTTTAGAAAAATGTTACTTTACAAATACATCTACCATCTAAAACAAAATTGCAATAAAGAACGTAGTGTTTTGTACCATGTCTATTTATTTATAATTAGGAACGAGAAAAGTCTTTGGAATATTGGCATTCTCGTTATGCAGTAGACACAGCGTCGATCAACAGAAGACTCAAAGAGAAGGCTGACCAATTTCGCTGTGTTAGCGCTCGACGAGCAGAATTGCAAAAACTCGTATGTACAATCGACGATAGATACCTGCATCATAAAATCATAAGGTTTAAATTAGATTAAACGCGTTATATTAAAATACATATTTTGCAGTACGATCTACATGAAGGCGAGATGCGAGCTTGGCTTACTTTTAAAAAAGAACGAGCGGCCCGACTTCTTCGTGAGAAACGTCTTCGAGATTCAGCAACAAGAATACAAGCATGGTGGCGCGGAGTTATGGTCCGTCGTGCACTCGGAGCCTTTCGCCATTTAAGAAATGCAAAGAAATTACCTACTAAAGGAAAGAAGAAATAAACACATTAAATTATTGATATGTGCATGTGATTGTATGCAATTAGAAAATATCAAGGCCAAACGAAAAAATATGGTTAACGAGGATCTTTTTAATTAAATTACATAACGTAACGCCTGACCTAAAAATATTCTACCATTTCGTACATTGTGCAGCTTTTTTTTCAAATCAATAAAAATTGTATCGCTCTTACAAAAAAAAAATATTGCTTACATCACCTTCAATAGAGTGACTTGATGGCGTCCCTAGAGTAAAATTCTTAAATTTGGGAGAAATTGCCGGATTAATAGTCTATATTGCTTAATTTTTTTCTTAATTTATTATCAAACACACACGATTTTTTCGTAACAAAAAATTATTATTTGAATGTAAATCAAGTGCTTGCAAATTTGACTTTTTGGTAAGAACGCGAGAAGCGAAATTGTGTTAATTGATTTATTTTGTAATATTAAGGTATTCTTCAGATTTGAACGTGTAATAGAAGTGATTTTTTAACTGTTTAACATCTGAAAAGTGGGAAAATGTGGAAAAATGAATCAAAGCCGCTGGACATGTTTCTTGGGATCTTCCAAGCATCCACTGAAAAGGTTTCAATCTATAACCACCATTTTACTGAAACTATAGTTTATCGCTATTCCGTGTCATTTAATTTCATCTCAATTGACAAATGTCTCAAAGAATCCTCATTTCATTTCGCCCCATACTATTTTTCATAAAAACAGAATATACGGAGATTAGACTGTTTGACCTTCGAAGCGTGGCCGACGAGTAGTGGATAAGGAAAGCCGAAGACTGGGCTCAGCAGCGTGGATTAGGAGAGAGCTATGTCCAGCAGTGAACTACTTTGTACTGATGATCGTGATGATGATAGGCTGCATAGTGTAATACATGCGCCTTTTTAATTGGAAAAAATGAAACTAGCACTGTCAATAGTGTCAAACGTCAGTACAAGGAATGAAATAATTTTGTCAATAGAGAGCTGTCAGTCGCATGTGGTTCGCCCGTGTAGGTAGTTGGTTATGTTGCTGTAAAGTAACATACTAAATTAACAAACAGCGATTTATCACGCCAAAATAAATAAATGCAGCACAAAAAGCTTGATAATAAATAAACTCTACTCAAAGTGTTGTGAATTTTTTTACATGGTGAGAGAAACTATCGGTTTTTGAGTTTCGTGTATATTCAATTCTTGGAAAGTTGGATAGTGGTTCGGCGGATTCGGTGAGTAATCCTTCGTTTTTACCGTCACTTGTCTTAATTTTCTGCATTTACTGTTATAGATATTGATTACTTACGCCGGTGTGTGCTAGTTTTAAGAAAGTTTGGATACTTTTAACTTACTTTAATATTTTTTTGCTATCAATAAAAATTTCAGATAAACTTTTGCATAGCTATCGTCATTATAATTTTTATTCTAATTCAGAATTAATCTTGAATCGTTTCAAAATAAGATGAAATTTTAAATTATATGTAACACAATAATCTATAACAATTAAAATATATGTCTGTTTTAAATTTAAAAAAACAATCTGAATAGAATAAAATAAAGAAATTATTATATTGGCTATTTTGTTCACTTTAAAGGGCTGGGAAACATCCTGGACCAAATGGTGTGGTAGCAAGCACATTGATCTTACAACCTTGGTCGATCCTTTTATTGCGTTCCAAGATAGAATACATATAAACATAATCATAATGGAAAACACTTCATTGATTACTACAAACAAAAATCTAGGTACTTGACACTAAGAATAGATAAGTTTTACTTTAACTTTTGGTGTAATTACACAATAAAGAAATATAAAATAAATTATCCCACATCAGAAAAAAGTATCTTAAATAAATTTTCTTCTATACCTTTCTATCACAAAATCCTTGAGTGGGGCTTGATAATGTTCATAAAAGGTTACTATATAGCACGGAGAAAGAGTATGGACAGTCTTATCATATTTACCAGTAAAATCGTAGGATATTGCCCAAATTGTAAAAAAAATTATTAATGAATAATTATTTTTTAAAACAAATTTGGCTATGAAATACAGATAAGATTTAATGGATGACTATTCAAAATTGTTAACTTCATATCAAATTTAAATCATTAGTATATTTCATTAAAAATGTATTTAGGAACAACAAAAAATGAAAATTTGCAATTTTAAAATACAAACATTAATAATGAAAGGAGGTTGATTTTGATGTACAATTTTGAATGCAACTCAAGTAAAAAATACTTGTGCAATAGCTAATTGCATTAACAGATTATTCATAGAGTTAAATGGAAGCCATTTGTATTCAATCGCAATCAGGATTTCTAAGTAATAGTTACCTGTTGTATTAACATTTTATAAGGCATTGAGTTACTGCTATGAATATTGAAGTTCTATGTGTTAAGTTATTAATTACTGATATGAACATATTCAATAATATTAATTTATTTAGTAGATTTTTTTTATTATAATTTAAGTAATTATGTAGACATCTTCCTTGTTGTGCTTCATACATTGCAGTGTTTGCAATAATAACAGCCATATATGAACTCTTTGAAAGTATCACTAAATTTTTATGATTAGAGAAGCAGATTAATTCTGTTTCCTTTGAGCTAAAATCTTATTACTTAGTTTTGATTAATTTACTTTTGGAAACTGTTTCCTTTCACTCTCAATTGTCTAACATTATTAAAAATATCTTAATAAGTTTTAAAGCTATATTCAGTAAGAGACACTGTAACAGATGATTTCGACAATTAAAATATAAGAAATCTGTTAACATGTACCTATTTGTTTTAATAATTAAAAAAGTCTCTAAGAAGCTACCATTTCACTAAAATTACCCGCCGCAAAAACCTCGTGAGACGTTGCCTTTTTCATGTAATGACAGCCTCGTCCGTACCCAGTCGGAGTGCGGTACAGTGGTAATTAGTGCGTTAATCGCGCTAGCTCGGTGCACTGTGCGAAGTTGATGCAACGTTTCCGAGAAACCGATCACCGGAGATCGCGGGAGGAGCGGCAAATTGCCGACAGATATGTGTGCCGCCTGTCGGTAATTGCAAAAATCACTCGAACCTCGCAGGCATGTTGCCAATGAAATCTCCCGGGGGAACGGACCTCCGCCGACTTGAAACGTACCGAAAACCGGTATTTTTGGTTATACCGCCGCACACTAAAGCCATTAATACATATAATAAAAAAATACCTGTACTAGTAACCAAATCTCGTTCTACTAAATTCGTGAATGAAGCTCTTGTGAGATAAAAGATCAGATACGGATTCTTGTATTGAAATGGATAGAAAATAAGAGTATACCAAACAAGGTTTTAGCTTGTACTATTCTACGTCAATATCATCGTGAAAGTTCCACTCGCATATCCCAACCCTACACTACAAGTTCACTTCAGTGTCGCTGCACCTTTGTATCTGCAAATCCAATGTAAATAATGAATACCGGTTTTTTGTTACATTTGAAAGGCAGTAATGAAAATAAAATGTTTTAAAAATATATCCAGGTCTTGAGATTTTTTTTTTATGACCATTGTTTTGACATTTGAGATAAATGCTTTTGAAGTTTAATATCATATATTACCGATCTGACTTAGGTATAGGGAGGAAAAGCTCGTTAAGAATTGGTTATCTCCATCCGCCCGAATATTTTTAACAAAAATAAACTGCAAAGTAGAACAATAATAGGTGCAGAGTTTTTTTTAATTCGGCATTTTTTTGGATACGCACTGTTTTGTTATATACCAGAAAAACCTTCTTTTTTTTTAATTTTTGACTTTGACGTTTAACCTGGCCTCGGAACCAATTGCTGTCCTTAACTACCTTAACACGCACAGATTAAATATATTTACAGCTATTTAAATATAACTTCTCACTCAATAAAATCACTTCTTTTAATCTCTAACGAATACAAAGAACGTATGACTTAAACATTTAGTAATATTTTATAATTTCATTGAATTTGAGATGCAATGTGTACCGCATCGACAGTTTTCTCAGTAATCTGGCGTGCAAAAGTGGAACACCTAATTTCACTTCAATTCTCCGTAGCTATGTCATCATTTCCTCGTTGCGATCTCTTGATACTTTCGTATTGTCTCGCGATTGCTTTGAGGATCGAATAACATTGTATTAAACAAATAATTGTGATTACGTATTAATTACCTATGGCTTTAACGCGGCTACGTATATTAAAGCTATTGTTTGTTTCTAGGTCGCGCGCCTAAATATCACCACACAGTGAGGGTTCATTTGGGAAAAATAATTTTGTTGAAATAATCTTTGAAATCACGAAATAAGTCATCTTGTAACGTAATTTAGTTTCTCGCACATAACAAGCAAAAAGTAGCAAGAATAAACAGCTTAAGAAATAATTACTTTTTGAAACGTGAAACACGAAACATGTAGCATTTGAGAATCAACTTACTGGCCTGTCTTACTTTGAATGTATTTTTTGTCTGTTTGCCCCAAAATAGTATAGCAAAACACGTAGCATTTTTTTATAAACATGTAGGCAAGTAATTATAATTGACTATTAAATAACTCTTATTAGATACAGAGAAAAGAGTTTTCTTTATTTGGGTGGTTAAATAACCATGTGCCGCTAGGGTGTAATTAAAACGAATTTAAGAACGAGCAGCAAGCAATATCGCGCCAAAAAATACAAAATTTATGGAGCTAGTGAGTAATAAGGGCATTAAATACAATATTGCCAAATGATTGCTGCTCGATTGCGATCGATAATTTAGTTAACAAATCCATTATATATGTCATACGTATGTATGATGGAGGTGTAGTAGATTGCCGACCTGGTTTGCTTACCTGGGCCTTCTGATAAATTTCCGAACAGACTATACAAACATCCGAATGACGTTACCCACTTTCTCGGGAATTCGGGTATGAAAGAATTTGAAAATAACGTTTATTAAAACTGATTTTGCACGAATAATGAATTTCTAAACGGCTCTTTTTTCTATCTTTAAAAGTTATTTCTTGAAATAAAATCATTTTTTGTTTGTTCACTCCACTAAATGGACATTTCATGGAAAACGTGTTTCATAAAAGCTGTGAATGCGTCGCCATTAGGTATTGCTTGCTATTCTGGGAACAACTCGTCTAGGGCTCAGTCTCATTGACACAATAGCGAATACTCGGAATGAATCATAGGTTGGATTATTTTCCTAATTTTTCGATAATCCACAACTGCTGTGCGATGCTGGGTTTTTTTTATTGCTTAGATGGGTGGATGAGCTCACAGCCCACCTGGTGTTAAGTGGTTACTGGAGCCCATAGACATCTACAACGTAAATGCGCCACCCACCTTGAGATATACGTTCTGAGATCTCAGTATAGTTACAACGGCTGCCCTACCCTTCAGACCGAAACGCATTACTGCTTCTCGGTAAAGCGGTGTAAAGAAATAGGTAAGGCGGTGTTACCTACCCGTGCGGACTCACAAGAGGCCCTACCACCAGTAATGAGACTGAATGAAAAAGACTCGCAACGTATTATTATGTTTTATTGATCACATCGTTAAAGTGCTTAGTGATCAACTATATCCATGGGCTTTGGGTTCGACTATCGGAATTTGGTAAGCCATATTAGTAAGTATACCTAATACTTGTCCCGAATGTATGTTTTCGGTACTCGTAAAGCAGGAAAGAATTTGAACTTGGGCCAGAACTGTTTTTGTCGTAGTGTTTCCCGGAGTAATGTAAAAAACAACAACACGATCTCTGCGAATCATGATGACTCAATTAAATTCTAACAAATACGCTTTAAATTGATAAGATAGGAAAAACACGACATTTCCTGTAAATGAGGTGTAACTAGTGTTCAAAGATGAGACTCGACGCTTTGAAATAATAAAACATATATTTATGTATTTCAAAAATTAAAAAGAACACGATTAAATAGTTAATGTAGTACTTAATATTAATTAAATTCAACTGTTTTTTTTTCTTGCTGGTAAAGCGTATAATAGAGGATATTAGAGCAATGTAAAATTATTGTATTGTTGTAGGTAGGTTTTTACTGGTGGTAGGACCTCTTGAGAGTCCGCGCGGGTGGGTACCACCACTCTGCCTATTTCTGCCGTGAAGCAGTAATGCGTTTCGGATTGAAGGGTGGGGCGGCCGTTGTAACTATACTTGAGACCTTAGAACTTGTATCTCAAGGTGGGTGGCGCATTTACGTTGTGGATGTCTATGGGCTCCAGTAACCACTTAACACCAGGTGGGCTGTGAGCTCGTCCACCCATCTAAGCAATAAAAAAAAAGGTAATTGATACGTGTGCAAATTTTAAAGTCGATCGGACGTCATGAAATCTGTGAAAATGACGTTCAAAGATTCATAAAAACAAGCATACGCATATACCAGGCTTATATACATATGTACCAATAATATACCAAATCGAACACCATATACCAATAAAAACGTATTAAAAAAATCATAGTTCCACCATATTGGTAGTTTACTGTCGGCGGTGGCCAGAGCTCAGGGAATGCTTGGTATTTAAGTGATTACCGGGGCGCATATTAAAGTCAATGTCACTTAGGGCGGATTCGACCAAACTTAAATTTAAACTCGAGTAACTATACGAGGAATAACCTATTCCATGATTTTAATCTCGAGTAAATTCATAGTCGTTTTTCCACGTATACTTGCGCTAGGAATAACAATACGCGAATAGCAGAGTGAATGGTGAACAAAAATAAAATCCGGCAAATAAATGTTGTTGTTCAACGGCATAGTGTAAGAGCATACAAATCGTCAACTCGATTTTGCCGTATTTTAGTGTGAAAAAGTAGCTGTTGTGTAAGATATCCAGCTGTCAAACGTATTATTTTTATTTCTTGTTTGTTTGAGGGAATTGTCAAGTTTTGTCGTGTGGTTTTATCTTTTTTCGTTTAAACGTTGCATTCAGACTATTAATAATCATTTAGTGCATTGCGTTGACTTGAAATTAAAACAGAATAAATATTTATGAAATGACAGAAATCAGATGTTGGACTGACAGACGCCATTACTTTATTCTAGGAATAGCTCCGTTATTCCGTGCGAAACGGCGGTATAGTAACAATTCCCGAATAGGCCCACTATTCTTAGAATTGTAGTTGGTAAAACGTAAAATTGATTTACTCTCGATTAACTGACGAGTTATTCTAAGAATAAGATTTACTCTTGTTTGGTCGAATCGACCCTAAAAGATTTAGACATAATGTAGGAGTCTTTTTGTACGACAATCCCAATATTAACATCGTGTAGTCCGTGAGCAAGGCGAATCTAAGCCGTAAAAAGGGAGAACAAATGCCCCTTGCTATTCGATGACTATTATTTAGAATGGCGGCACTTCAAACAACAATAGTGTTAACAATATTTTATACATTAACGAAAATCGATTTTCAAAAAACAGCGCAAGGTTCTTTTTTTCATCTTTTTGGCTTAATAAGTTTGTATTGCCTTTATGTCTTAGTGTAAGTATTATGCTAGTGTGTTCAATCTTTATGTAACGTATATTTAAATGCAATAATGCTGAAAGCTTTTGAAGGTAATTTGAATTTTGAATGTAATTCGAAATTTAAAAATAATATTAACTTTTATGTATTTTTGGCAAGTACACAATACACCCTTCACACAAGTAAACGCACAGGGATAGATTACATAGGATTTGTTTTGTGGTTTAAAAATAATAAATATTGCTTCAATATGGATAACTAAATTTATAATTTCAAAAGAAACGAAGGCTTTCATTAAATTTTCATAATTTGAAAAGTTTACCTACAGTGAAATGTTTTCTAATATTTACTTCGGACTTCGGACTGAAGACTCACAAATAGGAATTGCTGGAATTCGGAAGAAGAATCCTTAAAATAAGCGAAAGTATTTTTTTTTTTCTAAGAATTTAGTTGAATTTTATCGAAGTAACTAACGATGTTGATTATAATAATGGAAAACTGCTGAGCTTGTCCAAGCCTTGTTGATTTTACTTTATTGTTTATTTTTTTGATTTCTGTTGTTTATGGTAGGAATAAATTATTATCTAATATATAAAATTCTCGTGTCACAGTTTTCGTTGCCATACTCCTCCGAAACGGCTTGACCGATTTTGATGAAATTTTTTGTGCTTATCCGGTATCTATGAGAATCGGCCAACATCTATTTTTCATCCCCCTAAATGTTAGGGGTAGTCCACCCCTAAATTTATTTATTTATTTTTTAGACAAATTTTTTAATTTCTATTTTTTTATGATACAACATACAAAAATACATACAATCCTCAATTTTCACCCTTCTACGATCAACCCTTATTTTTTATTTGCTAATTAAAAACTTTAAAATTTTTTGCGAGAATTTTGTTTTTATTTTGTCATGACGTAGAAAAAAAAGTTCATATTACTCTGAAATTTTCACCCCTCTACGATCAACCCCTATTTTTTATTTGTTAATTATAAACTTTATTTTTTTTGGCAAGATTTTCATTTTTATTTTGTCATGAATTAAAATAAAAAATCTGATGTTACTCTCAATTTTTCATCCCTCTATGATCAACCCCTATTTTTTATTTGTTAATTATAAACTTTAATTTTTTTGGCAAGTGTTTTATTTTGTTTTGTCATGACTTAAAATAAAAAAAAACATATTACTCTCAATTTTCACTCTTATACGATCAACCCCTATTTTTCCATCCCGATTAATATTTTTTTTTTATTCTATGCACAGATCCGCAATAAGGTTGCAAGATGGCATTCACATATTATAATTGTAGTACGATAAATTCTTATCCAGAGTTTATAATTTCAAGTTCCTTTAATTATGATTTTTTTTTAATTGAATTTGATTTCCCGCCCTCGCCGGTCGACTACTGATTAACTATCAATTGATTAGCTATCCCCGCCAGGAGTCACCACTCATTCAGCAAACATCACGTAGTAGGGATGAGGACAAAGGCGGTCTCCTGTCTTACCTACTCACTATACATCATAGATTATACACTTAATATATTTGAGAACTATACAATACTTACTATACATTTTTCAGCCATGTTTTTTTGGTTTTATTTGTGTATCAATAGTATGTTCAGTAGGTCTGAGAATCGGCTACTATCTATTTTTCATACCCCTAAGTGAAGGGTTGTCCACGCCAAACATTTATTTTAATTTGTTGGATTTTTGTTTTTGTTTATAATGAGGTATTATGTGGTTAAATGAGGGTTTTTTTCTACAGTAGAATTTCCCTAGAAATCTTTTTTAAGGCAACACAACGTTTGCCGGGTCAGCTAGTTATTATTATAATTTCGTGTGATTCCCGCCTGCCGTTGTCTAGAATTTTTTGTCAAAGAGTTTTGAATTTGAAAAAGCAGATACTATGTACATATATGTTTTGGTATATCCGACTCAAACGCAAGATCAACACGTGCAGTTATGAACCAGTAATTGAGCTTTCCGACAAAAGGGACGCATTGTATGTAAATCTCCAAGTTACAGTCGGATATCCAGGATTAAAATGGTATTTCAAGATTTCTATGGGAACTTTTTAGGAAGAGACTCATTGGTTATAAAAATACAGAAGTATAGGATTCTAGGCGAGTTCTAATAAAAACGATTTTGTAAGAAATATATTCGACAATATTTTTTACGTACGGAATCAAGCCATAAATGCCCAAACTCGATAAAAAAAATATCTGCGGTATAACAAATACTCTTACTACTTACAAATACTCTTTTCAACAACTAAAATAGTTATCAAATAAAATAAAGATTAAAATGGGTTGCCGCTGACGGAACACTTATGAAGTTCCATAGTTAATACATACAAAAAGAAATTCATCACTCACTTTTATACATATTACGGAGAATTAATTTTTTAACATAACACCGTACTTAAAAAAATATATATACATCAGGAACGTTTTGTATTCTTAGAAAGCTGAAATCGTTATTTAAAACAAACAAATGACTTCATGAAGCGAATGACTGTGAATGTTTTTAATTTACAATGAATCGAAACGAAGACTCGGAGTTCGGTTCGGTTGCGTGGGAATTCACCACAAGAATTTTTCGAAAAAGCGAACACAACTTTCAACGTAAACGGCGATTATAAATTTATTATTATTCATTTCTTAGTCTCAGTTGTATTATGTATGTAATAAAGTCCTATTTTAAACTTGAACGTATGATTGTACATATGACTGCAATTAAACCAGTGCCGCTGACACAATAGAAACCATGAGTCGAAGTGTCGGGAAAACCTTGGCCCAGTGCGCAGTATAGCAATTCTAACAGGCTGTGTGGTGGAAGTCGAAGCAGTACTTCGCAGAATTTATCACCGGATCGGTATCGCTAATCACTGAGAAATCCGACGAGAAACTCAATGGATTAGGTTGTATGGGCAATAGCATTCTCTGAAAATTAACTTAGCATATTGTATGTATGTAAGTACGTACTGTAAGTCCGTGCGGAAAACAAATCCCGTCTATTCTTGCCGCGAAGTAGTCATTCGTTCCTGACTGTTTTATTTATTTATTAGGCTCACAATACACATTACAACCTAAAAAGATACATAAAAAACACAATTAAAAAGAAACAAAACCTGGCTTGCAACATAAGTTATGTGCGCACGACAAAACAAGACATATAGTGCTGAATTTGTACAACAACATTCCTTACCATTATACGACAAAACAACACGATAACGAAAAGTAATCTAACTTATAATGTAAGGAAATAATTTTATTCACAATATAAGATTAAACAATTACATTACTAACCTATGACTAACCTGGAGGATGCCCTTGATCATTTTTTATAAAAGTAACTAACTTACAAGTAAAAATATCCAACTCAGTTAACTAAAAAAATGAGATAAATCTTTGTACGATATAACTGTGATTTCAACGTTAGTTCACTTAACCGCTTTAGTTAAAGATGAGCCGTGATCTCGTTCATCTGTCCAAGTAATAATAATGACTTTTTTTTTGTTCAGAATGCAGGCATAGATCAAGATGTGGTGGGTAGTCGTGGTGGCGGCGGTGGCCAGCGCGACTCGTGCGCACTCCGCCGGCTACTGCTCTGTGAACACGTTCACCACGAACGCCACGTGGATGCAGTTTACCAAGGAACCGGTACCATTCGAATACGGCTTCGAAGACAAGTTCAAGAGCATTCATTGTTGCGTCAGGGGATACAGAAGTATCGAATGGTAAGTTCTTTGATACTGGCATATTAGGTTGCACTGTTTTTTATTCCATATATAGGATTCTATAGGCAATGTGTTTCAGTGTGGTTTTCTCATAAAAACTATCTACAAAATTTTACGACCTTAGTTATAACAACAATTACTGTATTAGTTTAGGGTTATTTGCCTACCTATTCGCTGGTAGCGTAAGGGGCTATTCCAGTTTCGCCTGAACGGGTAGTTGAGCTCACAGACTCAACCTGAGAGAATTTGCTAACACTAGCCATAGCAAGAGCAGTGCTTCGTTGAATCTACCACAGGATCGGAATCGCTACCCACTGAAATAATCCGACGAGAAACTCAGTGGACTTATTTGAGCCTTGTAAATAATATTTCTGCACTTAGATTATATTAGATTAGACAGGAACACAAAAGTAATAATTAAAGAAAATGTCTCAATAAATATTTTATGTTTATTAAAAATAGATAGTGATGTAATAAACCAGTTTTCGCACAGGTAACAAGATAAATTCGTTACGTAACTCATTAATAACATTCTAATCATAGCGATGAGCTAGATGAATCGTGAGGGTTTCCCCCCTCGCTCGGTTCAATATACTATGTATTATAAGTTTATACGCTATACGTTTTATTCCGCGGGAAATTTTCAATGAAACACACAATCTTAAAGTACTTCAAATCAAATCAAATTTTTTTTATTCAACATAAATGAAAGTACATACTGGTTGAACATCAAAAAGAACTACCGCTTATTCACAAAAACTAGCCTCTGTCCTGAGAAGAACTGGCAAGAAACTCAGCTGCCTTTTTTTTTTAATATTAGATTTTTTTTAAATTCTCATTTTAATAATGAGTATTAAACTTCCCCGTTTATGTACACGTTTTAAACTTAATTCGGATCAACGTTGCTTTCAGATGCTACAGTTATTTATTTCCGTTTCAAGTTTTCACAAAACGCATAAGAAAATACGTTCTTTATTTAATCGTATCGCACTGAAGTAAATATGTCTTCTGGACTGTCTAACTTTGCCGAGACTTTTTGGCGGGAACGCGACGAGTAAAGTTGTGTGATTTGTTTTATTTTAAATGCGTAATAACGGTGGCTTATTAACTGTTTAATATCTGTGAAAGTGCATAAATGTGGAAAAATGAAACAAAGCCGCTGGCCGTAACTTATCGAGATCCTCCAAAAAGTCCACTGAAAAAAATCTTAGTAATCGACCACCATGTTACTGAGATTATATTTCATCCCATATCATCTCATTTAATTTCAATTCATTTAATTTCATTCCAGTTGATTAATGTCTCAAATTAATCATCTTCATTTCATTTCATTTCACTCCATATTATCATTTTTCATAAAAATAAGAATATAAATTAAAATAAGACATGACTTAAAGGTCTTAGTTACCAGGTCATAAAATCCCTTAAAAAATATCTAACTTTGCCTTCTTTTGTTTGTTAATGTATGTTTTAGTCTTTTAAGTCTCTTAGAAATAGATTCGTACTCAGTATCTTGGGATTCGTCTTACCCAGAGTCTACTAGACATTCCGGCGCCTTAGGAACAATATTGAAGAGAGAAATCGACATAATTACTTCAGTGCGCTACGTAGGGCACCGGTGACATATATGACAGTCAACATGTGAATACAAATAAGACTCGAGTCTCATTGAATTCGCTATATTAATTTTCGAACTACGAAATCTGATCGAGAAATCCTTATCACTAGCGACTGAGAGTTTTTTTTTTTACCTACGCAAAAGTGATTCCAGCCAAACTGTCTATATAATACGTTACTTCATCAAATGTGATATCGTTATATCGAGGGGTGCTTTGTGTATTTTTTCAGTCGCGTTTTTACTGCTTCGTTATATTTGTGGTCCTATTTACCGTACAAATATTTATGAATGTTGTTTTTTTTTTTTCCGCATTGAATAAAATGGGATTTCCGTTAAATCGTTATTTCCTCATTTGTTGTGTTATATTTTCTGGATATTAATGAGAAAGATGAAACGAGTTCCGAATACAAAATTTTCCTCAACCGGTGAGGAACTTCACATCAAATAAATCTTTCGGTAAACGATTTTTTTCTTTGTTGTACAAAAGAAAAGCCCACGAGGACGGATTATCTATGTATGCTATGTATATTTATATATTAAACTTGTATCGGGATATTACGATGGATACCTACAAATAGAATAAGTAGTATCTCGGTACGTCTTGCCAGCCCGTACCGCGAATTAGGGCGGAAGAAAAAATATAAATTATTGTTTGATTTTCGATATTGTGTAGTACACCACATTTTTGTGCCGACTTGTCTCGTTTTTATTTATTGTTTAGATGGGTGGACGAGCTCACAGCCCACCTGGTATTAAGTGGTTACTGGAGCCCATAGACATCTATAACGTAAATGCGCCACCCATCTTGAGATATAAGTTCTAAGGTCTCAGTATAGTTACAACGGCTGGCCCACCTTTCAAACCGAAACGCATTACTGCTTCACGGCAGAAATAGGCAGGGTGGTGGTACCTACCCGTGCGGACTAACAAGAGGTCCTACCGCCAGTAAAAAGCCAGCCGTCCATCGTGGATCGTGGTCTGTGGTCCGTGTGGTCGAAGTCTCATTTGTATTGTCATAACAGCTCTCCTACTTTACAAACTGAACTGTAGCTTCATGGAGATGGCTGTGAGAGCTTAAAAAGCTTTTATTTTGGCTATTGGCAAAACATCGGTATATGACCCTTCTTCATTTACTCGTAGTACTGCTTCTTTCTCGTGCTCTTCGTTAAATGAAGGTTGAGTCTACTTTGAATTTTCTTTGATAGTAGTGACTGGCACACTGCAAGTATATAACGTTTACCACTTGACTACACATATTTAGGATACATTGCGCTCAACTAGAGGAAAAAAAAACCGAATAAACTAATAAGAGTTTTTTTTTTTTTTTGTAAATTCATATAATGTGTTCACCACAGTTTGCAATCAAATATTATATTTTTCAATAAATCATAAATATCAATATTATGAGGAATTACATTTTCATGATGTCGTTCGCAAAAAACAGATAGCCGTGAGCCGATATCGATAAGCGAACGGTTCGAGGAAACGTTCTTCGAGGAAATAATTGGATAGTCCACTATCTACGATGGCGTGTTTGTTAAAACGAAGACTTTGTAGGTAACCTAAATGTGAAACGTACGTTTGAATGCGAATTCAAGTTGACTAGGAAAACTCTGAATTATAAGCTCTGTCGTATTCGTGCAATGCGGACTTCGGTAAAGGATTTGTATGGCGGACTTATATGGTGACGTCATTATACAAACATTATCAACTTTGTCGAGCGTGAAAATAAACCGTGAACGATTTCCTTGATTTTTTTTAAATTTATTTATAAAATAACAGTTATCAGTCAAGATTCTTAAGCGTAATTAATATTTGAAACTATCATTGAAAGCGTAATGTCGTTATTCTTGACATTAAATACCCTAGTAATTAATGATGTCCAATTGATAGACAGCGGCTTGGATATGCTTCTGGAATTGCTGACCAGCTGGTGGGCCGTATGCTTATCTACCCTCGAAGGAGTTAAAAATAAAATTGTATGGCTTTAATATTAAATTTTATCATTAACGACAGATGTGAATCCTGATTTGCGTCTGATAAACGTGAACACACCGTATACACAAACGGAATTCCATTTATCACATACTCCGTCAATACGCTCTAGATTTTGATAACAGTTACACAATATGAATTTTTTTTTTTTGCAAAACGATGTTACTGACGTTTATCATATGATATTAAAACTTTATCGTAGAAACCGGCAACAAAATAGCACGATTGTTATTTGTTTTTCCTCAGTTTCAGTATTATTTAGTGGAGGACATTTTTTTATTACTAAATATTCATAATTTTGAAACTGATTGATTTGTGACGAGGAACTTTAAAAAAATAAAAATATGTGTGCAATTCACACGTGATAGAAGTGAAACATTTAAAAATTTTGACTTCAAGATAATGAGACGAATGTAACATTTCGGGAAGAGGATAATTGTAGGTTTTAGTAATGATCATAGTGATACAAAGTTTGATAATTATTACACATTTTGTTCGTTATAATATATTACTTTATTCAGAATGTATTAAGTACGAATATTAGGTACGAAGCAGCGCACAAAGAGAATCACGAACATAAGAAACAATGTATAATGCTTCCTATCTCATTTTCTCTCACGTTAAATCTTATGAATTAATATGTCTGTCTCTTTTTACTGTCGCTTTTTCGTTTCATCGATTTTCGGATCACAACGAATGTCACAATAACATAGCACACTTCGAAATATGTGCTAAAATGTAATACCATTATGTACTTTATTACGAAAAGAATAAGAACGCGGTGCGTTTCAAATTACGATATTATGCGATTCAGCATGTCAATTGTCAACGTGATACTACGCTCCTACAAGTGAATTGTATTTATGGCTGCTGACCAAAAAAAAAAGTATTAAGCTATCGATGTACAAGCTACTTACGGCTGCACCTGGTGCGCAAAACAAGTGCAGTTCCGAGAAGTGGTGATTGGCATTCGTTAAAGCGCGCACCGCGTCCACTCATCACCAGGTACCTACTCCGGTCTCGCTGCTGACGCGGTAACGCGAAAAAATGCTACTCGGAAATCTATAAATATGAAACGTACTCTTAAATATACAATTAAAATACTTGAAACCATATAGAATTTAATTGCATCTGTGTAGGACAAGATAATTTAGTCCAATTTAATAATAAAGAAAATAAGTAAAGTGCAAAGAAGAACGGCAGTTTTTGTACCACTATTTTTTATTGTTTCCTTATAAGAGTTGTCTGATTTATAAAGGGTAACCATCCAAATATTTTCGTGCATATATATTTTTTTTTTTGTAAAACTGCAAAAACAAAAATAAAACATAATATTTGAAAAAAGATAGCAATTAAACGTTATTCATTGATAACAAAACGCATTATA